TGTGTGTGTGTGTGTGTGTGTGTGTGTGTGTGTGTGTGTGGAATTGTTTTGCTCGATGCAACTGATCGGGTTATATCATCATCAACATCATCCGCATTCAAAGTTATCTTCTTTTGAAATAAAACGAGTCGTTTTCCGCCTGTTCACTTACCTTACGACAAATCCATCATCGCTTGTCAGACTCCGGGGTGTGCGTCCACTGGAAGTGAGAAATAGAGATAGTGTTGTTGGGATTCTAATACTAGATCTGGTGATATATGGCACTCGACCCCTCCGTACCCAGTATTATCGGTCCGTCATTCGTGTAAATACTAACCGGGCCTGATATTCCTCAACCTCAGAGGACAGACTAGAACTGGTAGTTCGGATGTAACTTGGATGCAACCTCCTTTTATCTCCTTTTTTGAATAATCAGTGATGCATTTTTCCGACCAATCAAAGGGTTGTCATACAACACACGGAGAATGGGGAAAGTCAGACGGTGGTGATCCGATTCGAACTTTACCATCGGGCCACCACCACCACATTTTCAAGCATCAATTTGTGTATTTCCATCATCTAACCTGAAAGATACAATTTTCTTGTTCAAGGACAAAGGTTTGGCAAGCCAACTTCTCTTCTAATGTACTACCGAAGTTTGCAATCCCTTGTCAGTTTATAGCGGCTTGTTCATGAAGGGTATTTGTCATGCCCAGTCGACGTGTCACCATACTATTTAAAACCCATGAAAGAGAAGTGTGCAGCTGTACCATCCACCACTAGGTGTCACCCGGTTCTATACTGCACCTGACCTAGCGGGGCCTTATGTGGTTCGGTAATCCAAGTCCCGGGGCTTATGTTGTTGGTTGCTATCACTGAACAGCAGGTCTCCGTGACTATGGAGTCCGAACTTCTCTCTGCTGCCAATCACACACACTGATGTGTAATAAAAAACTATCCACCGAATCCAATAGGATTCGAACCCGAATACGAGGAGTTGTTTATCCGACGCTCTTGCCATCTGAGCTATCCGAGTTGACTCTCAGCAGCTTGCTACATGCACCATTCCATGTTGTTATTGATGATGCTGATGCAGTCAGTGCTTTATCCGTGAATGCAGTTGGAAATATCAGACCTTGCCATATAGTTAATCATCAACACTCGTAACCAAACGACTTCCGATAATTATTTTGTCTAACGTGACCTTACAGGATGACTCATTCCAGTCATTCTCCGATCAGAACCGCACGGACAAGCTACCAACTTCATGAAAATCGACATTCGAAGGTCCTTTACGCATATACACATGTATGATCTACACAAGTTAGGTCCCTCTTCTCTCTTATCATGTACTTAACCACAGTTGGTCATGTTTCTACGATCATTTGTTTTGCTTTACGCGCGAGGTGGTGGTGGTGGTGGTCGCCGTCGTCGAAGTGTTTAAGATCTCCGAATTATCACCCCGAGGGATGTGTGTGTGTGTTCGTATCCCACCAACACCACAGTCTGACTTTCCCCATTCTCTGTGTGTGTTGAATGGCAGCCCTTTGATTGACCGCTTTCCCCTTCCTGAGAAAGGGGTATGTATTTTCAATAAAAAGAAGAAAGAATGAAAAGAGAAGGAAAAAAAAACACGTTAAGACGACATTATCAGTCCGGTTCCCAGAGTACCGTTTCATGTGATATGAGCGGAAGACTAGTGCAATGGATTTGTAAAGACGGTGGAAATATTTGTGCTGATCGACAAAAATCATTGGACAATTGTTTCCTGTCCTGTTTGGGACTAATCAACAGTGCGTACGTTTTGTGTCCCCGTGTCAGGACTCCAACCGCGAACATTCGGGTTGAAACTTCAAATCCTTACCCTTGAGCTACACGGTAGATGGTTTTCACTTTGTGCAAGTAGCTTGATCAAGTTTGGATTAGCCGATTCGATTGTTCAGAGGCACCAGGCACTCTTGATGGTCTTGGGTGTGGGTTTCACTCCTCGAGAAATCGTTAATTCCCCACAAGTTCATGCATTAAAACAATCGAATAGATTTATAAACACTACACATTCATCTCCATCTGTATCACATTGTCACTAGATTAACGACTACAAATCGATCTTATGCTCCAACTGTTTTTTCACCATCTCATACACACATTCAAGCAACCGGATCGTATGTGAGCGTTTCAGACTTGTCCGAAGCAACCAACGGTCGTATCGCCCAGTTGTCCAACGGCACTCTTCTCCTGTCCTACGTGGACGATTCGGATCCGCGCGAGTTCCTTTGTTTCCTCAAGCCCGGACGCATTTCCACAGCGGCTCAGCGTAGTTCTGCTGTGAATTTGGAGGTTCACGGTAAGTTGTTTTGATTCCCGGACGATCGTTTGAACACTCAGAAATTTGACTGTGAATCTGTATTCAATTTTCCATCGGGACCTGTTTGAAGGAGACCGCATATGAGACAATCAATGTGCGGTGCGATGCGGTGCGGTTCGGTGCGGTGGTTGTCCCAAAATCGAGACACTCAACATTCTCCTAAACAAACCCCAAGACCAACTCAGTGTTTTGATCACGTGTTTGGCCTTCTCCTGTTCGCTCTGCCCGAAATTGCAACAACTTTGGGACCGGGGGTGGGGGGTGGGTGGAGGAACCCTGTTAATGGGACCAGGGGTGTAATGGACCACTTCGTTTCGTACTCACCCAATCCACTACTGTGTCCAGTTCAAATCTGATTTATGGATACTTTCTACGCTAGACTAGGCGAGTGTTTGCATTTCCCACGGTTTCAGCAACAATTCACATCATTACTGTACATTCTGTAACCGTAGATGCGTGGGCGTGTGTGTGTGTGTATGATGTACCAACAAGTGCAAAGAGAACAACTGCATCCGTGAGCTTCAAGTCACATGACCTACATCCGCTCCTGATCACGTATTCACCAGTTCCGAGAAAAAGAAGCTTGACAAGATTGGTTCCGTCCTCGGATTGTAAACCCGGCCATTTTCATCGGAACTCCTCACTGTGATTGTCCCAATTTTCGCCAAATTCATGGCTTTTATTATAGTGGAAGCGAAACATTTCTATCTTGTAACTTGTTTTTTTTTTGGGGGGGGGGAGAGGGAGGGGG